TCCTTCCTTATATCTTCTTCCTCCCTCCCTCCCTTTCTTCCTTTCCTTCCTTCCTTCCTCCCTCCTTCCTTCCTTCCCTCCTTCCTTCTTTATCTCTCCTTCCTTCCTCCCTCCCTCCTTCCCTCCCTTTTCCTTCCTTCCTTCCTTCCCTCTCCCCCCTCCTTCCCTCCTGGTTTTCCTTCCTTATATCTCCTTCCTCCCTCCCTCCCTCCCTTCCTTCCTTCCTTCTCTTCCTCCCTCCCTCCCTCCCTCTCCTTCCTTCCTTCCTCTCTTCCTTCCTTTCTCTTCCTCCCTCCCCCCTCCCTCTCCTCCCTCCCTCCTTCCCTCCCGGTTTTCCTTCCTTATATCTCCTTCTTTCCTTCCTTCCATCCTTCCTTTTCTTCCTCCCTCCCCCCCTCCCTCTCCTTCCTTCCTTCCTTCCTTCCTTCCCGATCACACTATTCACTGAATAACTGCAGTGATTCACTTAACCATTGGGGCCGAAAAGGTCATAAAATGAGGCAAAATTCACTTAACAACTGCCTTGCTTAGCAAAGGAAATTTGAGGTTCAGTTGTGACCTTCCCTGCTACCTGGGATATGGGGCAGGGTTTTAGAAAAAGGCATTTTTGCACTTCGTCTGAGAACACTTCAAGTTGAGACTGAATTAAAACAGACGTCCTTTTTTTTAGCCTGGAAGCAGGGGGAAGTTTTAAAACTCTATTTTTAGAAAGAAACAATAGTAAAGTAAAAGGAAATTCGAAGCTACTTAATCTTAAATGACCTTGAACATATTTTTCACGATCTTGAAAGTAGCTTCAGTCAAGGAACAAAACTACGGGCAGCCCCCATGGTAACTTAGCAACTATGTTTTTGCGGAATTTTTTCTCTGAGACGGTTTTTTTTCCCATTTTTGGTGGGGGACAGCCGGCCAAAATAAATAGCACGGGGGTGGGCAGAAGTCTTCCCAACAGCGTTTATTTATTTACTTTTTAAAAAAATATAACTCTGTACACATGAGGAAAAAACAAAGCAAGTTTTAAAAAAAGACTTCTAGGAATCTGCAGAGATCCGTTTAATTAAATCGGTTTGAGGAGAGTAAATTATTTTTTTCCCTCCACTTCCCAGCCTCCTGGATGGGGAAAAAACGGTTTCGGTCCAAATAATTATGGTGCATAAAAAAATCTAAAATAATGTTACAAGGAAGGTTCAGAAAAAGGTCTGCAGGCTGAACGAGTGTTTATTTTTTCAAGTCACCATTAAGTGTCTCCGTTATACCTATGAAGATATAGTAATGAAAGGCATCATAATTTCCATAACTTGTATATCCTCGGTCCTCGTTTAATGACTGTTCAAAGTTACGATGACAATGAAAAAAGTGACCGATGACTGTTTTTCACACTTACGACCGCTGCAGGATCCCTGTGGTCACATAATCAGTATTCAGATGCTTGGTAACTGATTTATATTTATGATGGTTGCATAAATTACATTGTAGGTGGCAGTGACAATGCAGAAGACCATTGCCATTCCAAGGATTATAGTGACGTAGACTGATTTCTATTTCATATTAAGAAAAACCAAAAGGTTCGGAACTGTTATGTCCTGAGGACTCTAGGAGTTCTCACTCAGGTCCACTCACTTTGTGTGGGCGTTCTTCCCCCTTTCCTCATTGGTTGATTCTCTCCAGCAGCCAGCTATAAAAGCAGGCTGCGGGGTCCAACCAGTTGCTGATTGCTGCGAGCCAGTTCCAGGCGTGGCAAGCACGGTCAGCCCTTTATTGTTATAATAAAGTATTGTTGCACTCATGCTCTGGTTCAGCCTCTCATTGCTCAAACTTAACACTGGCGACGAGGATGGGATGGCTACCAGAAGCACCATGCAACCGCTGAGTCACTAGCCACCGATCCGCAGCCCAGAGAGAGCGATCGGCCGGCTACAAGAGAAACGCTGACCGCAGCCAGAGAGAGCGGTCAGCCAACAAAAAGAGCGAACGCTGATCCGCAGCCAGAGAAAGCGGTCTGGTTCGAAAGTTAGAAGTGTCTGTAGCCGCTTGTTAGCCCAGCTACAGGGAAAGTGAAGCGCTGCGAGCCGCAGTCGCTCAGTATTAGGCGCGAAATTCAAACGGGTGTCATTTGAATTTCAAACCAAGAGAGACACAGCACAGCGCTGTAGTAAGTCACTAACGCCCACGCTGGCGCGAATCTAGACACCTCCAACGGCTAACAGCCAACGTGGTTAACCCAGAGAGAAAGAGAGGATAGCAAAAAACCTCTCCAGAGCTGATATCACTTGCAACCCACGAGCGCCCGTTGTCCCCAGAGAGTTTTTTCCGCAGGTAGCCCAGCCGTTTCCAGCACCATGAGTTCCAACCCAGTATTCCCAGCGTTCAAACCAGACGAAGAGAAGTGGGAATCGTATAAGAACCGCTTCAACCATTACATCGATGCGGTCGGCCTGGCGGATGCGGGAGAGCATCGGAAAAAATCCTATTTCCTAATCTACTGCGGAGCCACCGTTTACGATACTGCCGCAGCACTCGTAGCCCCAAGAGAGTTGAAAAACGTCCCGTGGTCCGAGTTGCTTGAGATCCTCACTAACCACTACGCTCCCAGGCCTTCACAGATCGCCAGGAGGTTCACTTTCCGTATGAGGAAGCAATTGAGTAAGGAGACCATCAATCAATATATGGCCGCCCTCAGAACAGCAGCTCTGCACTGCGGGTTTGGAACATACCTGGAGGACATGCTCCTCGATCAATTAGTTTGTGGGGTCAAGGACCTCAACCTACAGAGGCGCCTTCTAGCAAAAAAAGACCTCAACCTCGCACAAGCGGTCGAGGAGGCCCTGGCAGCCGAGCTGGCAACGAACTCAGCCACCGAAATACAGGGCCCAAACGCCAAGCTGGCATCATTCCCAGTCCATTCCGAGGAGGTGGTAGCAGAGGAAACCCTCAACGACGAAAACGACGTCCACCGCCTCGCCTACGACAAACGGCCGCAGGTAGGGGTCAAACAAGAAAACACCGGTCCACCCAAGCACATCACACTGTGCCTAGCCTGTGGGGGATCGCATCAAAGGGCCACCTGCAAGTTTAAAGGAGCCACCTGCAACAACTGCCATAAAAGGGGGCACATCGCGAGAGTCTGCCAAACCCCCCAAAGCGCTGCACACAGACTCCCTCCCTCGCACTCGGGACCACAGAGGCAAGTATTAAACTGTCGCACGCACCGCCTTGCCAAGCGTACTTGCCACAATGTTAGTAAAATTTCTCTCTCCGTTTCCCTAGAAGGTAAACCGTGCCACATGGAGGTTGACACAGGGTCAGCGCTCTCAATAATTTCGTGGAACACCCTCAAGAGACTCCACCCCAGCCTATCTACCACCCGGCTTCAAAGATGCGAGTTCGGCCTGAAGGACTACCAGGGGAAGACCATTCCTGTGATCGGCAGAGGCAAGTTCTTTGTCAGTTTTAGAACTTTTAAAGGTCACCTACCTCTAGTGGTAGTTAATGGCAATCTACCCACCTTATTGGGGCTCGATTGGTTTCCCCACCTCGGCCTAGGGCTAACAGGAGTCCATGCTGTCTCAACCTTAGACACTGACTCCTTATTCGCTGATTATGCAGATGTGTTCAGCGAGGAGCTGGGGTGTTATAATGGAACCCCCATCTCATTCACAGTTGACCCCCAGGCAGTCCCAATCAGACTAAAACCGTGTAGGGTCCCATTTGCTATTCGACCAAAACTAGACGCTGAATTGGATAAACTATTAAAACAAGGGGTCATTGAGCCAACAGATTTCGCCAAGTGGGAGACGCCCATTGTCACACCCCTCAAAAAAGATGGTAGCCTGAGAATTTGCTCGGACTACAAGACAACAATCAATAAATATTTACAAGTTAGCGCCTACCCTGTGCCCGTCATTCAGCACTTATTGCACACATTCGAGCCGGGCAGTATTTTTGCTAAATTGGACATGTCTCAAGCGTATCAGCAATTCCCTGTTGATAACCAAACAGCGGAACTTCAGACCATCGTCACTCACAGGGGTGCCTTCCGATGCAAGCGTCTCCAATTTGGCGTAAGTGTTGCCCCGGGTATTTTTCAATCCCTCATGGAGCGGATTTTACAGGGCCTCCCTGGTGTAGTACCCTACTTCGACGACATCTTGGTCTCGGCCAGGGACAGACCCCAACTCTTCCAGAGAGTGCGAGCAGTGTTAGAGAGGTTCAGACAGCATGGCCTCAAGTTAAAAAAAGAAAAATGCGCCATTGCCACTAGACAGGTGGACTTTCTGGGTTATAAAATTGACGCCTCTGGCATTCACCCCCTGGAGTCCAAGGTTAGGGCAATCCACGAGGCTCCCACTCCAACCTCCAAAACGGAGCTACAAGCTTTCTTGGGGCTGCTGAACTTTTACGCATCCTTCTTGCCCCATAAAGCCTCAGTAGCCGAACCCCTTCACAGATTATTGGACAAACAGTCACCGTGGCACTGGGGGCACAAAGAAGACCAGGCGTTTAACGCCGTCAAATCACTACTCACGTCAGAGGCGGTGCTTATCCAATTCGACCCTAACCTTCCTTTAGTACTGGCAGCAGACGCATCCCCTTTTGGAATTGGGGCGGTCCTTAGTCACAGACTTCCCAATGGCGCCGAGGCTCCCATCGCCTTTTTCTCAAGGACGCTCTCGGCCACGGAACGCAATTACAGCCAGATCGACAAGGAAGCCCTAGCAGCTGTTGCGGCCGTGAAAAAGTTTCACGAATTCCTTTTTGGCCCTTTTTTCGAACTGGTTACGGACCATAAGCCCCTCCTGGGCCTACTGGCCGGGGACAAACAGACCCCTCAGGTCCTTTCCCCTAGAATGACAAGGTGGACACTCTTCCTAGCGGCCTACTCCTACAAACTTATTCACCGCCCGGGCAAAACTCTGTCCCACGCCGACGCTCTCAGTCGCTGCCCCTTACCCGCTCCGGCTGAAGACCCCGCTCCTGTCAACGCCATTTTCGAGATCACCCAGTTGGACCTGCCCATCACCACCCTTGACATGGCCGCCAAAACCAAGGCAGACCAAACGCTCGCCCAGGTGCTCGACTGGGTGAGGAGGGGGTGGCCGGGTGGCATCGTTGATAACAAATTAACACCATTTAAGACTCGCATGCAGGAGCTGTCCAGTTTGCAGGGTTGTCTACTATGGGGCACTCGAGTGGTCATTCCGACCTCGCTGCGTACCCGAGTCCTGGAGGCGTTGCACGAAGGACACCCTGGCATCGTGAGAATGAAAGCATTAGCACGCAGCTACGTGTGGTGGCCGGGTCTAGACGAGGACATTGTCAATTGGGTAAGTTCCTGCAACATCTGTCAGGAATCCCGTCCTGCTCCCCCCATTGCCACCCCTACCAGATGGGAGAGCGCCAGCGGCCCTTGGTCTAGAATCCATATCGATCTGGCCGGCCCCTTGCATGGGAAGATGTTCCTAGTGGTCGTGGACGCTTATTCCAAATGGATTGATGTAGCACAGCTATCCACGACCACCACACTAGCAATCACCAACGTGTTAACGCGCCTGTTCGTTACGCACGGACTACCCGACTCCATCGTCTCCGATAATGGCCCACAGTTCGCATCAATAGAGTTCAGCCGTTTTGCTGCCAACCTGGGCATCCGCCACATTTTCACAGCCCCATTTCACCCTGCCAGTAATGGGTTGGCGGAAAGAGCCGTCAGGACCACCAAAGAAGCCCTCGCCAGGTTCAGCAGGGATGACTGGCACCACAAACTCTCACGGTTCCTGATGAGCCAGCACTCAACCCCCTGTTCAGTCACCAATAAGTCCCCAGCGGAGCTCCTGATGGGCCGGCGCCTGAGGACTGTATTGGACAGACTTCACCCACATTACTGCCCTGACTCTCCCCTCGCTTCCACTTCGGGGTTAGACATTTTATGTTACAGGAGCCTGTATTCGCGAGGAATTTCGCTGGGGACCCACTATGGATGCCAGGCGAGGTCATCGCCATCACCGGACCGAGATCGTATAGGGTCAGGCTGGAGGATGGTCGCGTCTGGAGGAGGCACATAGACCAACTGCGGAGGCGCCACAGCACCCTTGCCAGCAGAAATCCAGAATCACCAGACGAAGGGGAACCGCCTCATCCGCCTCTCAGCCTCATCGCACCCAACGTCCAGTCCGCACCAACAGCCGTTCCGGTCAGCCCGAACTCGGACAACAGCGCCCCGAGAGTTGACCAGCCTGATCCAGCCCACGGGAACTTGCCCCCAGTATCCAACCCTGTGAGTCCCGAGGATGCCCAATCCGGAGAGCACGTTGGCGACACGCTGCCGGCTCAACCGTCACAGACTGAGTCTGAACGGACAGACAATGCTCCCGAGCTGCGCCGTTCCGGGCGCCAACACAAACCCCCCGTCTACCTCAAGGACTATGCATGTTCGCATCTGGGGGGAAGGGGTGTTATGTCCTGAGGACTCTAGGAGTTCTCACTCAGGTCCACTCACTTTGCGTGGGCGTTCTTCCCCCTTCCCTCATTGGTTGATCCTCCCCAGCAGCCAGCTATAAAAGCAGGCTGCGGGGTCCAACCAGTTGCTGATTGCTGCGAGCCAGTTCCAGGCGTGGCAAGCACGGTCAGCCCTTTATTGTTATAATAAAGTATTGTTGCACTCATGCTCTGGTTCAGCCTCTCATTGCTCAAACTTAACAGGAACAATTAATTAGGGGAACAACTTACTTCTAGAAGTTGGGGGTGCTCCCATGACTGGAGGTTTTTAAGAAGAGTTTTGGACAACCATTTGTCTCAAATGGTATAGGGGTCTCCTGCTTTAGCAGGGGGTTGGACTAGAAGACCTCCAAGGTCCCTTCGAACTCTGTTATTCTGTTATTCAGCCATCTGCCATTAGCCAGTCAGGATAGTATAGTCAATGAACTGTGTCTTGTTTTATACACCTTGAAAATGTTGTATATTATGCCTGGCTTAAAGGGGAAACACTACAGGATCCTGAAAAAGCTAGTTAATGGCCCTTAACTCTGCATAATTACTCAGTCAGGAAGTCAACATCATAGGACATGGCAGAATTAGAAGCTCACTGACGTACTCTTAAACCAAGATTAGATGTGAGATTTAAGCCATGGTTTGTTGACTAAGCTCCAAGTGACTATATTCATATAACCGTAGTTTCCAATCAAAGTTAGGGTCATATCGCATGCGATTTCAAAAACCAATAGCTCCTTTTTTTTTTTTTTTTGCTAAAACTGAGATCTCCAAACTTGGCAACTTTAAGACTTGTGGACTTCGACTCCCAGAATTCCTCAACCAGTCATGCAGTGGTAATTATGGTTAAGCTAAGGGATTCTGGGAGTTGAAGTCCAGAAGTCTTAAAGTTGCCAAGTTTGGAGACCCCTGTGCTACCGGTAGAACATGCCCCGTGATGAAGCCATGAGAGATCCTCAACCATAAATGATGGCCATTATAGCTTGTTCAACAAACTACAGTTAGAACAAGTCCTCCTTTAGCATTGTTGAGCTCATATCTGAACAAAATCTGGAAGTCACATTCCACATCATCCCAGAACCAAAATGAAATGGAGGAAAGGATGTCCTGAAAACATCAACCTTCTTCTCTCCAATTGGATGGCTGTCTTCCAAAATTCCTGGAAGTCAAATACAGAGAACCATCCCTAGAAATTCTCTCAGTTGAAACTCCAGCACATTCGGAAAGCAAGTGACTCATGTTCCTGTGATGTGTGCAATTCACCAGACTTATTTATTTATCTGTAATTTAGATTTAGAAGGCTGCCTCTGTTCTACACAGACACTGTAGATCAGTGGTGGGCTGCAACCGATTTAACAACTGGTTCTGTTTGCACGCGGACGCAGCAGTCAAAATACACCAATACAAAATACACCAACGGGCCTCCCGGAAGTTCAGGAAGGCCAGAAACGAGCCTGTTACCAACTTCCAGAGAGTCTCCGGAGCCTGGGGAGGCCATTTTCACCCTCCCGGCGGCTTGAGGAAAGCCTCCGGAGCCCGGGGAGGGTGAAAACATCCCCCCTGCCATGGTGCAGGAGGCTGACTAGGCCATACCCACCATGGCCATGCCCCCCAGCAACCAGGCAGAGAACCACTCGCTAAAATTTTTGAAGCCCGCCCCTCTCGACGCTTAAAACGGAAGAAATAACCTAGGAGCAAATATTGTGGGGAGGAACATACACAGGCAGTACTCTAAGTAGAAGAAACTCTGTGACAGCAAACAGACACATCTTAATATTTCCCAGATTTTGGGGGCGTGGAAGGGTGGGACAGGTTTCAATGAATCATTCGAAAGTTGGCAGGGCAATCTGAACTAGTTCGGTGGATCAGTTTGGCCCCTGAGATTTGAATGACCCCCAAAATAAGAGTCCTTTTATAAGACTCCGAAGAGCCAACTGGCCAGTCTGAGTCCGTGTTTAGAGGGGCATAAATTCAGATCTCAGCTGCCACTTTGGTTTACGCTGGGATGCCATTTTACGTTTTTATGATTGCTCTTAATTGGTTTCGAAGCCACCCAGAGTTGTTATGAGTAAGGACAGAGGCATTAGAAACAGTTCTTCATCTCTTACCGAATGAATCGGCGGACTTCTTTCCCTCTGTGGGAAGCTACACCCCTCCTAAAAGAATGAAATATTTTGAGAAATATTCTTTAAAAGCCAGAATATTATATTTCCCTAAAGGAGGAATGTGTTTTTAAAGTCAGAAAGCAGCCCCCCAAGTCTTTCTTAATCGCCCCAGCAGGACTGGGCCAGCCTCTGTACAAGACAAAATACCTCCAGCTCCAGAGTGATGAGATTAAGACATGACCCTCCAGGACATAATAGGATTATCTAGCACCAGAGCCCACTCTCTAAAGCAGGGGTCCCCAACCACCAGTCCCTGGACTGGTACCGGTCCGTGGATCATTTTTTACCGGGCCGCAAAGCTTGGGCGCCTCCATCTTGTTTCGACGGTGCTTCTGGGTTTTCGGTTGGAAAGTGGCGTTTGGGTGCTCGTGCCTTAGTTTCATCGAAGGCGGGAGCGGCGGCTTCAAACGAAGAGCCGTCCCGATGGCGGTGGAGTCTCGCGTTACTCAGGTACCGGTCCGTGGAAGAATAAATAATCGTGAAACCGGTCCCTGGTTCAAAAAAGATTGGGGGCCACTGCTCTAAAGGACATTGCACCACCCAGCAAACTTCAACCAAACTTGACTCAGACAAACATGACCCCACACGGCCCCATGGGAGTGCGACAACAGCCAACAGAATACATGTTCTTGCACAGGAACAGGAAGCTCAAGTGCAAAGCCCAAGGGAAGGTATAAACACCCCCCCACTCTCAACTCCATGTGGTCAACTAGTGCTCCGAACCACTCATGTGCTTCTGCTTTATCAATAAACCATCTTTCCAATCAGCCTCCAGCCTCCATTTTCTTAAAAACCTCCAGTGATGATTCCATCCTAACTATGGTTTGTTTGGAGGAAAGAGTTACCACATGTGTTAATTCTGAGGTAAGGCCTTTTCAGGCATTCTTGTTCTTTTGAACTACACCCTTATGGCCTGGAAATAGAATTTAAAAAGTGGAATTTTTTTCCCCCTTCCATTTGCCACTTTGTGCTAATAGACGTGCAGTATTTTTCAGCATCGAAAGATAAATATATGGATCCAATTATTCCACGCACCACAGAGTTGATGGGATTAGCAACCTACGAAGGAATCAGTTGTCAACATACTTCACTGTGGATAATTGCAATGAAATATGCCTACTGGTTATGATGTCTGTGTAGAATACACACACACACACACACACTCACACATATATATGCACCTGGCAATATTTTTTGTTTTTCTCTCTCCATAACTCTCTGTTTTTTAGTATTATCATTCTTCCTGTTAACAATTCTGTTACTAATATAATATATAGAAGACAGATCCGTAATTTGCAAATGGATTTATTAGTTTAAGAATTGGGGGGGTGGGGGGGCAGGCCTCTTTTGCAAAGGATGGGAACCAATGTTGTAGTAATGTATTATTCAGGATTCAATTAGTGGGGATAACATGCATATGTATTTTTTTATTTTTTTGATGTACCTTTTCTTTTTTTTAATGAATCAGTTGTTTTGTGTTGGTTTCTTTGGGGCCGGGGGGAGCTTTGTATCTTGTATTTTAACTTTGTCTTGAATAAAATTTATATATATATATTGATTGATTGAACACAAAAACAAACAGGAAAAAATAGTGTGCGTGTCTTGATAGATAGATAGATATAGATATATAAAATTGTGTGTGTGTATGTGTGTATGTATGTATTATTCAAAACAAAGTTAAAATACAAAGGTCCCCCAAAATAAAAAAAAGACCAAAAATACCAACACAAAACAATTGAAACATTAAAAAATGGAAAAAGTGCATCAAAAACTGAAACTGAACAAGGAGAGATTCAACCTGGAAACAAGGAGAAATTTTCTGACAATGAGAACAATCAACCCATGGAACAGAAGTTGCCTTCAGAAGTTGTGGGAGCTTCATCACTGGAGGCTTTCAAGAAGAGACTGGACTGCCATCTGTCAGAAATGGTGTAGGGTCTCCTGCTTGGGCAGGGGGTTGGACTAGATGACCCACAAGGTCCCTTCCAACTCTGATTATCTGTTATCTGATCATCAGGCTTCTGTATTGTGTTCGTCTGTGCTACAACTTTAAAAGCACAACTATAATGATGTGGGAAAATACCGGAACAAAGCTGAATACCATACATTTAAGTACCCGCAAAAACTTAAGAAAACAAACAAATATATATATGTGTGTGTGTGTGTGTGTGTGTATACACACACTATATTATATAAATTGTAATTTATAGATATATACATATACATACACACACATAAACAAACTCTATTTTTAATTTTTAAAAAGGGAAAAGTTGCATTACACACATGCACATGCACACACACAAACACAACACACACTATTTCTTCCTGGTTGTTTTTTTGTGTTCAATTAATAAAAGAAACAAAGAGAAAAAATATTTTTTTTTAAACCCCAGGCTTTCTTCTTACAATCTTACAGTCTTTGGTTTCTTTCCAACTCAACTGCTGAATGCATTGGGCAGCTGGTCAGCAGACTGAATTTTTGATCTATAATTGGATAGGGTGAGTGTTCTCTCTCTCTCTCTCTCTCAAAAGAAAAGTCTGGATTAATATATAACATGTTTCCAAAAAAGGAGATAGGAAAAATAATTTAAAAAAAAGAAACTTCATTGTTCAACTGAAGAGCATTTTGGAGAAATAAGGACCAGCCTGTCAAAACATTGACGTAAAGCTGTGCTTCTCAACCTTGGCAGCAAAAAATGCTGGCTGGGGAATTCTGGGAGTTGAAGTCCACATATCTTAAAAATAGATTGAGGCACATTGACGTAAACTGAGTTTCCATGGTTACAAATCGCACATAAATGATGGAGTCTGTCATCTGCACCTCTATAACTGTCTGGTTTGGTTCTGCAACCCAACAGGACAGACACAGACCTCAGAGAGTAATTAGGATGGCAGAAAAAACAATTACTACCAACCTGCCTTCCATTGAGGACCTGTATACGAGTCAAAAAGAGGGCTGTGAAAATATTTAGACCCGTCACATCCTGGACATAAATTGTTCCAACTCCTTCCCTCAAAACGACGCTATAAAGCCCTGCACACCAGAACAACTAGACACAAGGATAATTTTCCCCCCAATGCCATAACTGCTAAGCAAATAATTTCCTCAACCCTGTCACTATTAATC